TTTATAGTTAAGGTAAATGCGATGATTTTATCTATGCACTACACATTTGACACCTCGAATGCAGACTGTATGTTTATACAATATTTGAAAAAGAAAGTGGGTCTTATTTTCACGGTTGACAGTACCAGAATCAATTTATGAAGTTTTCTCTAATAATAAATTGATGATTCATGTACATAATATGTTATGGAAAATAAATTGGAGAGCTAAATTAAATCTTTTATGCAAGAAAGTTTTGTAAGATAAACAATGTCTTATCAAGTTCTTATGTTGATTATGGATAACTATAAGATACAAATCATGCTAACAAGTGGTGAAATATATACATAACAACAATCTATTGAAGGCTCTGGATTAATAATTTTGTGAATTTACTAATCGATATATACTACACTCGATAAATGTACAAAAAATATTTTTAAGTAGACTTTTCCATCCAATAATCAATAGAAGACGAAACTGATATCTATTCTCTCATAAAAATGTCGATTCAATTGATTTTTATGCTTTCTTGCTCTGTCGTGTGAAAAAAACTTTTATTTTATGATCGATTAATAATAAATATTGGAAGTCAAGTTCTTATGTAGATTGACGAAAATAATGCGTATGTCGAAATAAGGAGTCAAATACATCTTGTTAAGGTAATTGATAAACTTTCGGTATTATAGATAAGTTTGCGAATAATTATTTTCATAAACTATAGATACCAAAGATAACTCAACGAAATAGTCGATTTTCTCCAAAACAGACGACATGTGAAGTGCTATTTAGTATTTTATGCCGTTTTCTATCTCATACAAGAGCCTTTGCATTTCCTTTGCCGATAGATTTGTTACACTAAAATACCATTTGTCGCTTCGCTTAATGTGAACATATTATACATGGAAATCCAACATCTTGAAAATTTTACTATTTCATAAAGTTAATATTGGAATCTTTAGTATTTTTATTACATGCTTTACACAATATCATCAATAGAAATGCAACAATAGCAATGGAAGAGTTCAAGTCAAAAACAAATAAAAACGATAAGATTCTCAATGAAGAAGAAAGCCATGTTCTAAATCAATTCGATACAGTTCAATGGAATATTAATCTACACTTGTATTATCTTTTAACTGTATGCGTGACAAAATATGCATTTTGATTATGTTTTGTGCTTATTGTAATGTCTGTGTCGCATTTTGACCTCGTTGCTCATTCTCGTTCGGGTCTAGGAAAATTCTTTCTTATTATTGGAAAGCCTTTTACATTGTCATTAAGAACGTAAGATGGTCTTAAATTGAAAATAATATTATCATTAGAAATGAATTTTAGTAAAATCCATCAACTATTATTTTTATGTCGAAATTTTACACCGATAAGTTAAGGTAATCATTTTCTCTGTCAGTTGATCAAATAGAAAAAGAAAAATACTAGTGGATCAACATATTGATGCAAGAACAAAAACATTTGCAAGAAAATCTGAATAATAATCATTTTGAAAATGATAATTATGATAAATAAGTTATAATTTAATGAACAATGAATGAATTTGTCTAATTTTAGTGGATATGTATTTTTTTTAACTTTAATTAATAAGCAAGGCAAAAGAATTGGAAAAAATGCCGACATCTGTTTCTTAATAATACAGCATTTGATTGATTTAAAAATTCTCTTTTTTTCAAAGGGTTAAGTTTGAAAAGTATACGAATAAAACAACAGGAAATAAAGCGATTGTCGAAGATGTCAATTTTCGAATACTGTTCCTATTCTCGAATGCCGTGCAAAACAGGATGACAGCAGTTAATAATATTATATGAAGTAAATTGACAATAACAGGTATTCTTTTATTAAGACAATTCAAGGAAGCAAAGCTTTTGATGTCAACAAGACATCAATACCATCATCATCAGTGCTTATAATCAAAGATACATGCAATTATTACTTTCTTTTCTTGTTGTTCCTTGTGAACACTGCAAAAAAATAAAAAAAAAATAAGAATTGTGTATACCTTTGATTATATGCACTGATGATGATGATGGCTGGTTGACATCAAAAGCTTTGCTTCTTTGAATTGTCTTAATAAAAGAATGCCTGTTGTTGTCAATTTACTTCATGTAATATTATCATTTGTTAATTATTTTTCAACAACCAACAATGTATCAATGACAACAGCGCAAAATTCTTCTCACAGGACACTTTTTGTTATTCAGGAAGATGAATAAATTATCATAGTAAATTAAGGATATGAAATCCTTTTTTTTGTGGAAAAACTAATGCAATGAACACAGGTAAAGAATATGTAGCTATTTTAATATTCAGGACTGTTTTTGACCAACGAGAGTCACGACAGTCAGGCCAAACATTAATGTCAACTCGTCTACGTAATCATAAATCATATGCCGAATCAAATCTTTACCGTTTTCAAATTCTCAAGTCAACGGAGAATTCGGAAAATTGATATTTATCAACTTCATAGCAGCCTAAATCGAAACAACAAAATAAATGCAAACGTCAGATCTGATCGAGAGAATATAACATATTTTGTTGTATATCATTCTCTATAGATAAATTTATAGAGTATATTTTTTGAATTTTACCGATATATGATATTTCAGATTCTCTTTACTTTTACACAGAATATTCCAAAAGTTCCTTCCAAAAACGTTTTTCCCTATATATACTACATAAATGAAATTTTTATTTAGCGTACTTTTTATTTGATGTTGTCTTTCATATCCCCGCATCAAAATCAATCAAAATTTCGTTTAACCAATTTATATAAGTAAGTGTACGATATTCAAATCCCAGCTGTAGCTTTATAAACATGAAAAAGAAAATACCATTCAAATAATATCGGAGTAGATGATGATTTAGATGGATGTTGAAAAGATAACAACATACAAGAACATTTGTTTCTCTTACTGTTGTCATAATGCATTTAATGTTATTTAAAAAAAGCTTTAGCGTTGTAATAATAACAATCAATGTTAAATAAAGACAGATGAGTGTAAGTCGAAAAATTGTGATTGATTATTTTATTTGATTTCTAGTGTATTATTTTCCTTGTAGTAGAGACCTTGGAGACATTTGTATCGCATTAATTGTTTATTTGTTTTTTGAAAACAAAGAAAAGAAAAAGCAACATTCATTATCCATTGGTTTGTACTTCCTAGGAATATTATATTAACATTAGTGTCAAGAGATAATGTCAATGCTTGAAAGTAACTATTTGAGGAAATTAACTGCTGAAGCGCATTGACGACAGCTGAGTTTTTCTTAACTTTTTAATGCATCGCAAAAAGTAATTATTTTAGTAATGCTTATCAATTTAACCCTAATCCTATCAGTTTTCCCAAGACTATTATTCAAAATACTGATTTAAATTTCAATGATCATTATTTTCTGATATTTTTGATCGTTTGTTTTTTGAGAATTCTCTTCAAAAGAAATTTACTTGAGGTGATTTCTATCATTACTTACGAAATTGCAAAAATCTTCTTCAATTAAATATAAATCGTTTTATTGTTTGATAATTTGTTATCAAAAGTACGATCAAGTACATTTTATGTGGAAACAAAAGAATGTTTATGGATTTATCCTAGTGATAGGCATAAAAAAATCTTTCAATTTTAATCAAAAGTCTATTTTCTCCAATGATTACTGATCTATTTTTGAATGTACTAGTGTCTTCACTACAGATTCTACTTTTTTGACTAACGCACGTTTTTCTGCTTATTTGCTAGTTTTCTTTTGTAATAAAGCGACGATCAATTTGACATCAAATAACATAGAAAGGAAAGTACATGCGAAATTTTGTTTGTAGAAACTTAAGCTTCAGCAAAAATGAACTCGAAATTTACAATCAACCTGCTAAACTATATTGGAAACAGATATTTTTCTTCATGAACATAAAAGAATAATTCCCAATCAAGAGTTCACCTATATACAAAGATGTATTATGATTTGTGGAGTAAATAACTGCACAAGAATATAGTAACATTTTTATCAGAAATATGTTATTTTAATGAAACTGAACTTTCGATGATAAATTGTATTCAAAAATAGATCAGTAATCATTGAAGAGAATCGACTTTTGATTGAAATTCAAAGATTTTTTTGTATCTATGACTGGGATAAATCCATAAACATTCTTTTGTTTCCACATAAAATGTACTTGATTGTACTTTTGATAACAACTTATCAAACAGTAAAACGATTTATATTTTATTGAAAAAGATTTTTGCAATTTCGTAAGTAATAATAGAAATCACCTCAAGTAAATTTCTTTTGAAGAGAATTCTCAAAAAACAAACGATCAAAAATATTAGAAAGTAATGATCACTGAAAATTGATTAGGTTCAGATTAATATTGTAAGCATTACTAATATAATTACTGTTGCAGACACATACAAAATTACGAAAAAATGAACTCCCCCTTCATCGGCGATGTCTAAGACATTGAAACATTTACTCTAAAGCTTTAGTAATAAGATTAAATATAATTATTTGGTATCATTCGATAGTAGAATAATATTATGCAAAGATGATAGTACTAAATTAGCTTTAATTTTAATACATTTACTACTTGCAACTACGCCAGTTTAGATTCAAAATATTCCAATTAAAATAACAATTCAGTTCTGTTTCAATAATGCGA